TTCCCCTCCCCCATGATCCGCCTCCTCCCCTGGCTTCAGCCCCTCGGTCTCCTCACAGCCCTGCTACCGCCCAGTGCTCCATCCTGCCTCCCCCACCGCTGCCCTTAGGTGCCCCCCACCCCCAACACTGTCTCCCTAGCGCGCGCGCGCACGCACACACACACACACACACACGCACACGCACACGCGCGCACACACACACTGCCCAGGACTCCATTCCTTCCTTGATCTGCCCCCATCCCCCTACCCTTCCTCGATCTGCCCCTATCCCCCTGCTTCCAGGCGCCCCTCTCCCCCCAGCCCTAGGCTCCTCCAGCCCTCCCACCCCACCCGGTGATGCGGCGATCTGTCCTCTCCTCTCCTCCCTCCTTCCCCTCGGCCTCAGTATCCCCACTCCTCCTCACTTCCCAGGGCTTCTCCTTGCAGCGCCCCCTGTAGGGCTCTGGAGACAGAACAATGGGGACAGCCCCATTTCCCCTGCCCCGCTCTCCTGGGACCACACCTTCCCATAGAACCGCCTAGACCTACCTAGTGGGTCCACTCACTCATCAACGCCGTTTATTGATTGTGGATCCGCGGGGGTCCAGGCTGGGGGCTGAACAGCGCAGTGACCGCCACCATCCCGGTCCTTATCTGTGAGTTCTTGACACAGACTAGCAAGGAAGCTGACATTAATCAAATAATTATACATGCAATTAACTGAGTGCAGTTGTCGGAAGTGCTGTTAAGAAGAAACACAAGGATGCAAGAGACTGTCTAACAGGGATGGAGGGGAGCTGAGTTCAGGAACTGGGGCAAACTTTCCTAACAGAGAGGCTCCCGGGATCTTGATGGAGCTCACCTGGAGAATAGATAGATGGAGATATAGAGAATATTTATAGTATTTGTTATAGGTTTGTGCTTTATTTATATAATAATACATTGTTTATATTTTATATTACTTGTATTTCTGTATAAGTATTTTTTTTCTTCTCATGAGCACCTCACCTTACAAGGGTACACAGCACTTGTGCATCCATCTCCATGGCTCCTTGGAGGCAGAGAGCCACGGAGAATGTTCACCTGTTCAGTGGGAAGAGCTTGAGCTTTGAGGTCAGACCCTCCTGAGTCCTGATCTCAGGTCCGTTACTAACTCGCTGTGTGACACTGTGCTCCCCACTCTCCCTCTCTGGTTTTCAATTTTCTCTGCAAGATTGTCCAAATGGGTTAGATCAGTGATCAGATGAGATCAGCCAGGGCGCCTGTGAAATCCTCCAGCAAGGTTCTCACCAGACAGCTGCAAAGTGAAAACAGAAAATACAGACAACACAGAGGGGTTTTTCAATAACAATAAAATTATTTAAAGGAAGTAACTGTCTTTTATTCTTAGATAATATCTTACTTCTTTTACATCAAAATTTCCTTATTTTATGAAATGACAATGGAGATTAATAATCTGGGTGTTTTTTTTTTAAATGTCCTTAACTGGCAAGTTGGCAACCCCTTGATTTTCAGGGCTTGTTTAATCCTAAAGATGGGGACCACTGGTCTAGCCCTCCATTTAGCTTCCAGAGTGCACAGAGTGACCCCAGCTTCTCTCTCCACAGGGTCCAGCCGCCGCTACCAGGTGAGCGCTGTGCACACCAGCAAGGCCTGCAATGTCATCAGCAAGTACACAGCCTTCGTGCCTGTGGACATGAGCAAGAGCCGGTACCTGCCCACCGTGGTGGGGTACCCCAACTCCAGTAAGGCAGGTGGGCAGCCAGGGCACTCCTGAGGGCCAAGCAGCCCCCGTGAGCCGGAGGAGGGGGCTGGCATACCAAGGAGCACAGACCTGCAGGAAGGGGTGCAAGGAAGGGCCTAGAAGCAGCAAGGCCCCCAGCAGATGGTTTGGCCACCAAAAGAGGGGTAGGGGGCACATGAGCCCCCATCCACTGCTCTGCAGAAGGCTATGACACCATCCACTCCCTTTTTCCCACAAACGAATATGCCTTTACTGTATTTTTCCTACTGGAGACAAGGATATGTGCTCACTCTAGAAAATTCCAAAATATAGAGACATAAAATAAATAAAAGTGACTGGAAGTGACGGTTTTCCGGAAATGAGGACCAATTACCTCCTTGGTGGGACCATCCTTCAGACTTCTCCCAAGGAATATCTACATATAGAGAAATCAAAAGGCAGATAATTTTGCATGAATTAGATCAATCAGTATGTTCTAGGCTTTACAAAATACAGGTGTAGAAGATATCTTTCCATTACACTGAGTCTATATCATCATTTTAATAGCTGCAGCATATTCCACTACAGGAAACTATCGTCACCGTAATAGCCAATCAGACAGTGCTCCAAAGCACTTTATGTATTAAATCATTTAATCCTCAAAACAGCTCTGCGAGTGGATACTGTTATTAGCCCCATTTTACAGATGGGGAAGCAGAGGCGGAGAAGGTTACCTGCCCACAGTCACACAGCAGGGAGGGGCAGAGCCAGGCTTTGAGTCCCAGTGGCCTGGCTCCAGAGTCTGTGCTCCCCCCTGGTGCTCTCCACTGCCCCTTAAGGTGCATGAGAACCCACTTAACCAGCCCCTATTACCACGCCTTCAGATTCTTCCCTGTTGATTAGTCTAGCTTCACTCGGTCAATTATCCAAAGGCAGGAAGGCCTTGTACACGGCAAGCCCATGAGCTTTGGAGCCAGAATGACCCATGTGCTGCAAAGAACATCTTTGTGCCCCTGCCTGGTTATCTCCGCAGGGGTAATTAACTCTTAGACATAAGATTGCATGCACATCAGCGGGTCTGCCCCTTTAAAATTGGGATGTATGTTACCATACGGGCCCTGCTCCAAAGGCTGTTCCGATGTCCACCCCAGCCAGCACTGAATATTGTCCATCTTCCTAAACCCTGCCAGTCTGAAAGGTGAGAAAGATCTTTCTTTGGGAGAATTTCTTTAGTTTGTCTGTGAAATATTTTTCATATGTTTAGGAACCATATCTACTTTTTTTCCCCAAAATTACATTTTCCTGTCCTTTGCAGCTCCTTTTTTCTTTTTTGCTTTCTTTCTTTTTTTTCTTTTCTTTTGGTGAGGAAGATTGTCCTCACTGAGCTAACATCTGTGCCAATCTTCCTCTTTTGGCTGGAGGAAGATTGTCCCTGAGCTAATATCTGTGCCAATCTTCCTCTTTTGGCTGGAGGAAGATTGTCCCTGAGCTAACATCTGTGCCAATCTTCCTCTGTTTTATATGTGGGATGCTGCCACAGCATGGCTTGATGAGCAGTGTGTAGGTCTGTGCCTGGGATCCGAACTGCAAACCATGGGCCACCAAAGCAGATCATGTGACTTTAACCACTATGCTGCTGGGCCGGCCCTTCTTTCTTTTTCTTTTTTTTTTAGCAGACGTCATAAAAGAATTGTCTTTGGAAACAAATTGTCCCTTTCCTCATTCCTGCTGTCCCCTACCCCTTTTTTTTTGTCCTAAGATCTGGATCAGCCCTTCCCAGCGTATGTTCTGAGAAACTAGAACCCTGGTTCCGTGTCCTGTTAATGGCTATTCAGCAAAAACATAGGAAATACATTTAGGAACCGCTGGATTAACTAAAGCCCAAAAGCTCTCTTTCCTGCAGAACTTCTCAGAGCCTTTCGGATGTTAATATACATCGAGAGACTCAGAGAATGGACTACAGTACGCAGTTTCTCCAAAACGTATTTCTCAGTAGAACGTCTTGTTTTTTAAGTGACAATATACCATCTAGTGCTCTCCAAGAGTGGGGTTCCCCAAAACACACTTTAGGGTGCTGTAGCTTCATTCTCTTCCATCCATCCCCCATTGGTGATGTGCTGGGACCTCAAAGGGCTGCCCTGTGGGAGGGGGAACTGAGAGCTTGGTCTCTGAGACAGCAAACTGGGAGAGAAGGAAAGTGGGGTATTCCTGAGAAACCAGCCTTTTAACTAACTAGGAAACACTGCTGCTTTCCGAACGTTATCTCGGCAATGGGATCTACCCAGCAAGGTGGGTATTATGCCTCCCATTTTCTATATAAGGATGCTGAGGCTCAGAGTGTTTAGCACCCCATGCAGCTACTGAGAGATGCGGCTGGGGTTCAGACACGGGTCATTCTGGCTCCCAAGCTCATGGGCTTACCGTGTACAAGGCCTTCCTGCCTTTGGATAATTGACGGAGTGAAGCTAGACTCATTCCTGCCAGCCCTGGGCAGGTGGCGAAGGACTGGCCCAACTGTCCCCAGCTGACCACTGCTCCTTGTCCTCCTGAAGGTGCGGCTTTGCGGATGACCAGCTCTCGGGTCCTGAGCCGACGGTGGACGGGCCCCTCTGCTGGCTTTGGACGGTTGCAGACCACGCTTGTGGAAGCCTCGGCAGCAGGAGATGGCCAATGGCAGAGCCCAAGTAAGAGCCCCCTTGTGCACCTTCTGAAACCTGGGCCCGTGAGTCACGGCCTCTCGTGTCCAAGACCCCAGCCTCTCTCTGAGTCTCAGGGCCAGGGCAAGGCCAGGCCTCCCGGGCTCTCCGAGGCCTGAGATGGGCAGACGGGCTCAAACTGGCCCAAGCGTGCCACCACTAACACGGCTTTCCTGAGGGAGCCCTGAAGCCAGACAGCAGCAGACCCCGTGCCCTCCCATCCCCCCAGCGCTCCCCTTCCAAGGGCTGCCAACCCCACTGGCTGTTCCCTGCTTCCATCCTGAGTCCCTCCGGGCACTGAATGCCAGAAACCTAATAAACAAGGGGAAAAGCAAAGAGCACAGAGGCAGTTCCACCTGTTTGGGTCCCACCGTCTGCTTATTTCAGGATTCCCCCCCACCCACCACAGCCTCCTTCTGCCTTCACTTGACTTCATTGTGCCTGCACCTGGGGTCCTTGAAGATCCAGGGTTTGACCTTTTGGTGACTTTGCACTAATTCACAGAATGGCTTGAACCCTCTGTGTCTCGAATGTCTGCATGTCTTTCTATCGCCCTCAAGATAGCCTAACTGCTGCACCAGTCCTGACTTTCCTCCATGCCCTCACGTGTACCGTGCAGATCTCCCGCCTTCTTCTGTGCGTGGAAGGACCTCAGAGGTCCCCCGGCCACTCATCCAGACAGCCAGACCATAACAGCTTTTCACCTGAGGGCCTAGGAAGCGCTCACACACGGTGATGGGTTAAGAAAGGAATGGTGTGCGGAAATCCAGAGGAGCTCTGCAGAATTAAGGAGCTCTGCCAGCTCCTTGGTCCCTCAGAGCCTCCAGCACGGGGGTAACCTGCCCCATGCCTGAGCCAAGCTGGGCTTCCAGTCTAGGGAAATTTCTGGTCTACACTTTCCTTGCTCTGTAGCTCACTCTTGGTGCCCCAGGGCTTCCATCACAATCACAAATCCCTTCTTTTCAATCGTCCTCTGAGTCACACCCAGGGTCTGTGACTTCTAAAGTCTTATTCTATCCCAGGTCCTTCCCCTCCCCGAGGATGACAATGGCCAGCACTTCCTGAGAGTTCTCTATGTGCTGGGCACTGCTATAACTATCCATGACTCCTCACACCCGTCTCAAAGAGTTTCTATTATTTTCCCCATTAAAGGATGGGGACACTGAGGCTCAGAGAGGTTAAGTGACTTACTGAAGATCACACAGCAGATCCGTGGTAGAGGCAAGACTTGAACCCAGGCAGTGTCTGGCTCCAGAGCCCATGAGGTTAACCACTATGCTCTCGGCCTCCTGGTTGCCTCAGTCATTCTGTGGTTCAGCCACTAGTTCCCTCTTGTGCTGCCCCAGGGCACCCAGCAATAAGCAGAGCTTCTTGGCCCTCACAGAGCTGTAACAGTCTCAACGGGAGCCAAACGCTTTGGTGAAGATATTTGTGCACGACATTTTTTCCAAAAATTGCATTATTCCCTTTTAGTATATTGCCCATCTTTCTCCAGCCCTTGAAATACTAATCATAAGAATAATCACCTCAATTGTGCATTTCGAACAAGCTGTGTACAATTATTATCCCCATTTTACAGATGGGGAAACTGAGGCTCAGAGCCCCTGACAAGTCAGCACCATGTTCCTCCTGGAGAGCCGGCATGGGCCCCTCCTCAGTGAGGCACAGCCCTGATGAGCAGATGCCCGCCTCACTCCCCCGCCAAGCCCCCATGCTCAGGCCCCCGAGCTGCTCCTGCTTCCCGGCCGGGTCTGCAGCCCAGGGCTTCATCGAGCAGGACCTCAGGCCAGGCACTCAGCGCCTCTCTGTGTATCATCTAAGCCTTACACCAACACGGCGAGATAGGTACCGTCACCCCCAATTTGCAAACGAAACATCAAGTAACTTTCCCGAGGTCACACAGCTAGTCAGTGGGGAAGTCGGGATTTGAACCCAGGCATGTCTGACTCTCATGGTGGAGCCATGGTGGTGTCTTTGGAAGATGAAGGCCCATCCAAGCAGGGATGGGAACCCTGACCTTGCTCTCCCAGCCCAGCCGCAGGTACCGTGAATTCAGACCACCACTCTCCCGGGGGGGAGAGGAGGGGAGAAGGAGGGCTGGGAGTCAGGCCTCATGGGCTTCCTCTGTTGCAGCTGTGAAGGAAGGCCCCAGTGGGCCCTTCAGCGAGACCGTGTCCCCAGGACGTGAGAGCTACGCTGCCTCTGAAGGTGAGTGGACAGTGGTCCAGCTCTCTCCTTAATTAAATGATTAATCCTTGGTGATTAATCCTTGGACTAGGAGGGTCTTAGCCTGACAAAGTCCTCGGTGTTCATTTAGTCCTCAGAACAGCCCTGTGCGAGATAAATAGGAATATCCCCAGTTTAAAGATGAGGACACTGAGACTCAGAGAGGTGAAGTGACTTGACCAAGGTCACACAGCAAGTTAGTGTCAGAGCTGGGCCCGGAATCAGGCCAAGCTGAGGGGCCTTCCTACCACCTCACTCTGCCTAGAACCCTCCAGTCATGTGCCAGGGAAGGGCACTCCATGTCTCCACTCGGGGATGAGGGGTAGATGTGAAGCTGTCACTACCCCCACAGGTAACCTTCCACAAGACACCAGGGGCTGCCAGCCAAGGAAACTTGGAGGCCTGCTTCTTACACATGGACCCACTTATTTCACCCTTCCCTCGACCAACTGGGGCAGAAACAGCCCTGCAGCCTAATGGTTAGATCGGGTCCCTAGGGATGTAGGCAATCCCCTGCCCCTCTCTGGGCCTCTGTTTCCCCAGCTGGGCAGTGAGCAGTTGCACAGGGTCGTCTGTCAGGCCCCAACTGTCATTCTGTGGCTCTCCAGGTCCACTGCGCAGCCTGGCCACCAATACCCTTTCGTCCTTAAAGGCCTCAGACACTCTCTTTGGATCCAGGTATGTGGGATTTGCAGTGGGGTACTCTCTACAGCCAACCGTTTTCCCGGGGCTGTCCCTGGTTTGGAAGGCCAAAGGCAGGCCCAGCCTACCACTGAGACAAAAAGGAACAATCTGAAGGGTGCCAAGAAGGCCCCCTCCCCAGTGATAGCTGTCTTCAGGCATCGCCCTGAGGAAGATCCCCCCACTGTGGTTCATCTCCCATGTGTCCGTGGTCACCTTGCGAATGCAGATCCCCCTGGGAGGGCCAGCATGGGCTGAACCACTGGGCTGAACAGGAGTACGCCGTCAGAAGAGGGTCATAAAAAGAACACTAATGAGCAGCCGGCCCCGTAGTGCAGCAGTTAAGTTCACACATTCTGCTGCGGCGGCCCGGGGTTTGCCGGTTCGTATCCTGGGTGCGGACATGGCACCTCTTGGCACGCCATGCTGTCGTAGGCGTCCCACATATAAAGTAGAGGAAGATGGGCACAGATGTTAGCTCAGGGCCAGTCTTCCTCAGCAAAAAGAGGAGGATTGGCGGCAGATGTTAGCTCAGGGCTAATTTCTCTCAAAAAAAAAAAAAGAACACTAATCTGCTGCTAACTCACTGAGCAACTCGGGGGAAATTTAGCCCCCACCCCGGCCTCAGTTTCCCCAGCTGTCAAGTGAGGAGGTTGTAGGAAGCCATTGGTCAGAGTCCCTCTGGCCCTGACTTTCAGAGGCTGCTGAGTGGGCACTGGGGGGCGATGACCAAGGACACTGCCAGGGTGGCTGTGACCACTCTTCCCGGCTCCACCCTCACAGGCTAAATCTGAACAAGTCCAGGCTGCTGACGCGGGCGGCCAAGGGCTTCCTGACCAAGCCTCTGACCAAGGCTCCAGAGCCAAGCCCGGGGAGCCCAAGCTTCAACTATGTCCCGCTGGTGAGTGCCCCAGACCCCCGATCTCAGTCCTGGACACTCCGCAGAGGAGCCTGCCTGGGGGCTCCCTGCCCACCTTCCCCCTCCACAAAGGGAAGAAGACCTACACCTTCCCACCCAAGTAGCCGGCAGGGCCGAGGGAGTTTGCATGAGTCCCCCACCCGGGGTCTAAGAGTGTTGCTAGAAGCGAGCCCCAGCATCCCAAAAATTCTTTGCAATCTGCTGTCTTCGCTTTAAAGATTCACAGGAATTTTGCATTTTACTCCACCATCTAAGTGTGTCTGTTTTTCAATACATAAAAATAAGCCTTGAAATGACTCACAAGTGAGTAAAATTAACATCCCAGGGACACGCACTGTGTTTAGCAAAGGCTCTGCGGACGCGCCAGCATGCTGTGACAGGGTAGGAGCAAGGGAGCGTGGCCCTGCCACATCTGGGGCCCAGCGGGGCTGGGGGATCAGAGGGGCTGGAAGGAGGGACGCAGCTGGAGCTTTGCTGCACAGCTGCACACACACACCAAGTGCAGAGCGCCACTTGGAACTTCCAGATAGCCGAGGCAGCAGAGCGCTATGCACGTATTCCCTCAACAGGTATTTGCTGAGCCAGGCACAGTGCTAGACCCTGGGAGACAACCCGGAACTAGACGGCCCTAGTCCCTGAGCCCGTGGCACTAAGTGTCTAGGGGGGACACAGACAAGGAACCACGTAGTTCTGATCCTTGGGCGCCATGATAGGAGGGGTCGAGTCCGGTGAGGGACGTCGAGGGCAGACACCGACTCCAGGCTTGAGGTCCGGGAGGAATGGAGCAGGACTCGCTGCAGAGTGTGGTGGTTAAGCCGAGACCTGGAGGAGGGGGAGTTCGGGCCGACAGCCTAGACAGGAGAGAGAAAGCTGGGTGGCCGGAGAACGGGGTTTGAGGGGAAGAGCCAAGGATGAACCAGCACTTCAGAAATCCCAGTTTGGACTTATCTGAGAGCAAATGGAAGCTACTGCAGACAGCAACATGATCTGTGCCTTACAGAGACCCCTCAGGGTGCAGGCAAGATGGAGTGGGTGGAGGATGGGGACAGGGGAGGAAAGCAAAGGCAGGGACAACATGGGGAGGCACATGGTGGGTTGCAGAGCTGTCTAGAAAGCAGGCCAGTGGGACTTGAAAACTGATTGGTGTGGAGGGAGGAGGAGGGCGGTGAGCCGTCCAGAGGCCGCTAGACAGCAGGGCACGGTCCCAGTGGCCGAGCTGGGCCCCCCTGCCCGGGACAAGAGGCAGGTTTGGAGTGAAGATGTGGAGATGAGCTTGAAGAGTGGTCAGTGTGAAGTGCCTCTGGGATAAAGCGTGGCCTGTGCTCAGCTGCCCTGGGCGTCCCGCAGATGCCCCAGGTAGCAGGGCGAGCTGGGGGAGGTGAACGGGTGGGCTCTGCGGACCCAGGCCTTTAGCATGGCCTGAGGCTCCACGGGCTAAAGAGTCTGAGGCCCACTGAGGGCTCCCCCACACACAGGTGTCTCTGCAGCTGGCCTCCGGAGCCTTCCTGCTCAACCAAGCCTTCTGCGAGGCCACCCACATCCCCATGGAGAAGCTCAAGTGGACCTCGCCCTTCACCTGCCACCGCGTGTCCCTCACCGCCCGCCAGCCCGAGTCTAAGACCCTCAGTCCTCAGCCAGGCACCAGCCCCTCACCTCGGCACGCCTCCTGTGACAGCCTCTCCACGGAGCCCCTGGCGGAGGGCAAGCCAGGCTGGGAGCCCGGGGCTGTGACAGAACTCACGGGGAAGCTGTGGGCCACGGTGGTGGCACTGGCGTGGCTGGAGCACAGCTCGGCCTCCTACTTCGTTGAGTGGGAGCTGGTGGCCGCGAAGGCCAACTCGTGGCTGGAGCAGCAGGAGGTGCCCGAGGGCCGAACGCGGGGCACGCTCAAGGCTGCTGCCCGCCAGCTGTTCGTGCTGCTGCGGCACTGGGACGAGAACCTGGAGTTCAATGTGCTCTGCTATCACCCGAATTACGTGTAGTGGGGACGAAGGGAGGCTGGGGCGGGGGAGGAGAGGACGGGACCCTTTGGGCCTAGTAGCGGGGACTTCTGAAGCTGTAGTCAATATACTGGTTGCTAGAAAGAGCCCTGGACTGGCAACTGGGGAGGCCTGAGTTCAATCCCACCTCGCCATGCAACTTTAGGCCAGCCCCTGCCCCCTGTCTGGGCCTCAGTTTCCCCACCTGTAAATTAAGTGGGCGAGCTGAGGGAGTTGGACCAGATCTCTAGAAAGTTCAAAGGTTCCTTTCTGCCTGGACACGCGGGCAGCTGTGGGGTTTACTGCCACTCGGGGTGGAGGGAGAGAGTGCAGTTTAAGCCTGAGTTCTCTCTGGAGGAAGATCACATGGACAGAGTCCCCCTCAAAAAAAAGGGTGGATGAGCGAACCCAAAGATTGCAGGTAACCAGACCCTCAAGCTTGCGTCTAGGCATGGGGAGACCACCTCTGCCTGCTGCATTGTGGGGCACGCACTTGTCTCCATGGTGACGGTCCAGGGCCCCTCAATCCCATTACAAACCGACTGGAGGGTCATCCTTCCCAATGCTTTGCAGAAGTGCCACCCGGGGCCTTTTCCTTTGGCTTGGAAGCCCTTAGTATATTTCAGTATCTGTTTGCAGATTATCTGTGACCCGCATCTAAGAAGAGCTCATGGGCAGGACAAGGGGAGACACCCTGCGAGCCACGGTGTTAGAATTAAGGCACAGTTTGTGCAAAAATAGTCTAGAAAGAATAGACATGGTCACAGAAAGTGGAGAAACCAGACGACACCTTGAATAATTTACACACTTTGGGGAATTGCGTAACACGAAATCTATCTGCTTGTGCCGAGGGGCTAGAGAGGCAGCCAGTGTCCGCTGCATTCTGGGATAGTGGGGCCATCTCTAGCCATGCGACACTGTGGGGGACAGGGACCTTCTGTGCAACAGAGAACCAGGCTTGGCTGCAGTGCCTCTGGGGAGGCAGCCTCAGCGGGAGGCATGATTTATTCAAGGAAATGAAAGATTCCTGAAGCTTCAAAGCAGAGAGCCCTTGGGGACTTCCCTCTCTCAGGCCCACCATGTGACACCACGTGGTGACAGGGGTGTCACAGCCTCAGATTCCCTCATGGCTGGTGCCAGTCACCTCTGCCCCAAAGACTCTCCTCCTGGAGGTGGGTCTGGCCCTCACCAAGGAAGCCCACCAATTTGGGATGCCAGGCTGCCCCGCTCTCCCCCTCTGTCCAGGGGCTGAGGGAGAGAGGCGTCCAGCAGAACGCCCACTGGGTATGGAGAAAAGGCAGCCCCACCAGGATGTGGTCCCCTGCCCCACACACAGCGCACCCCTGAGGCAGAGCCGTGCCCTGCCCTCCTGCTGTGCTGCGAAATCTCCCAGGAGCGCCTCTTGCCAACCAGCCCCCCCAAGGCTCCCACAACAAGCTGCTGGTCCATCCCTAAGGCGGGGGAAGGGGCTGGAGGCTTGCCATCTGCTGACTGCTCTGCTCTGCGTCAGACTCCGCCTCAGGGAGGAATCCAGCCGGGCAGTCACCAACACCATGGCCACCGCGGCCCCTGGTGAAGCAGCATGCCAGTCTGGGGTGTTGGCCCAAAGTCAGTGCCACGGAGATGGATAGGGCTTCAGGCTCTCTTGCTCGAGGCCTCTAGCAGGTTTGAGGACAGCCTTATATGCCTGCACGCCGCCTCCCCTGAGAAGAACGCTCCTGCAGCTATGCAGCCCCAGCTTCAGGGCGTGGAGGGAGGGGTGTGGCATCGCTTCCTTGGCCCCCCAGTAATGGAAATATTGTCAGGTGGAGAAGTGGAACGCCTGGCACTAGTTTGGGCAAGTGGCTTCCCCTCTCTGGGTGCCCTGGAGCTGGGGGCTTCCCTGTGCCCTGACATTCCCAGATTCTCTGCCTCTGAGATGTTTTCCAGCTAGCGACCCCGGGCTTGCTCTAATCGTCAGTGTGACCTGAGCATGTCACGTGTGCTCTCTGGGTCTCGCTCCTCCTCTAGCACGGCCAGGTTGGACTGGGCTGCCCAGCCTCCCGACTCACCTGATTCTGGGTCTCCAGGCTCAGTGTGGACAACGACCAGGGCTCAAGGGGGCCCAGCACCTGCCCAGGGTGGAACTAGTGCTGCAAGACGCCTGGAAGGAGTAACCGAGGAACGCAGTGAGGGGGCGGCACACCACCCGCCTTCTCCCAGGACCCTCCTCGGATCCTGCCCCAGGAGCAGCTGCTGGAGCTCTGGGCAATTTTGATGCACGTGTGAATTGCTGACCACACGTTCTCTGGCTCCCCTGCCCAGCACCCAAAGGTGCAGAGGACAAATCCTCATTGATTTCAAATAATCCAAGGGCTTGGGAACATCTGGCCAAGGGCATTGTTGAAAGAGCTTCAGTAGTAGTGAGATGACGTGCGTTCTTAGAAATCTGCCAGGCAGAGGAGCAAAGGGACTAGCTTTAAGTAAAAGATAAGAGCCTCAGGTAATTGGCACAGGCATTGCAGCTGAAGCGGTTCCAAAGGTTCTCAGGTGAAACGTTGCCCCTGTGATTGGGGTTAATTTGGATTAATCCGAATTCCTTGTTAAACTAGCCCTTGCTTTCTAAGTTATGCAAAGGGACATTTACGCCCTGCCCAGCTGAAGAGTCAGGAGAGTACAGATGCCTAGTGGCATGTCCAACAGAGCCTGGCCTTCAGTGGGAAGAACACTGAGCTGAGACCTGGGGAATTTAAGTGTTGGTCCAAACTCCACCACCAGGGTGCTGTGTGACTTTTGGCAAATTGCTGGCTTTCTCTGGGCCCCAGTTCATCTTTTGTAGAATGATCAGGTTACACTAGATTAGCACTTCCAACACTATTCCTTGGTCGATATGTGAATTAACAACTCATGGGCAAAAACATCAGGGAATCACAAGACAGAGTTCTTTAGGTCAGTTCATGAATGTGCAAATGTGTATTGTCAGTAATTCAGAAGATCACTCTCCCCAGGTTATCCTTTGGGAAAAGGCTGGTCCAGAGCTCCCTTAGGGTTCTTCGGACACTAACATTCAAAAAGCCTTTATTGAGTTCCTACTGTATGCCAGGCACAGTGGGGAAGCCAAGTGAATATAGGTGGTGTTCCTGTCGTTTTTGGAGCTTGGGGAGGAGCATTTGAAGAATGCCTGCTCCATGTACCATTTCCCCACTTCCTGGTGTTCCCAGTGGGTGTGTTTGGCCACATCCCCAGCTTGTGGTCCCGCCATCTGTGGGTGTGGGCTAGACACCATGGGCACTAATGGGCCGACCCTGGAGCTTCCTGACTTTCGTGACGGTGTCAGTAAAGCTGGCCACAGTGGCCCTGCTCTTGTGTGGCCAAAGGAGAGGCAGTAGGGGACTCTGGCAGGAGCTCCTGCTGTGGGACCCCTGGTCCAGGGGAGCAGGGGGGTCCCTGCAACAAAGCACCCCAAGGTCCAACCTCCGGCCACACACAGGCAGAGTCTTCTCTCTGAGCCCCCTAGCCAAGGAGACTAACGGCAGATCCCGGCAAAACTGGGCCCCCCCCTTAGGCAAACTTACCCTGGACTCGTAAATAAGCAGCTTCAGTTTCCAGCCAGCACTGTCTTTTCCCAGCCTGTCCCTGCCTGTGGACACAACGAATGCCACCCACTGTCCTCCACTGTTGTGACTGCTGAAGGCAGTAGCTGGTTCCGAGATGAGCTGCTGGTGGGTTTTCACCCGCTCCTCAGGTGTTTGAGAAAGCAAGGGTTCCTCTTCCTCCCTTCCAGCTGGTTCGCTGGAACAGCTATCAGAAAAGGTTTCTGGAAGTTTCCTCTAAATCCTGACTTGCCCCTGTTGGTCCCGACCTTTATCTGAAGGCTGTTTCTTCCTCTCTCCGCTACTGTTCCCCTTCTCTCTTCCTTGGCAGGGACTCCCGATGAGAGGAAGTGAGGGAAGGGGTCTCCCCCAATCTGTCTGCAGGCTACCCCTGGTGACTGGCCACCCGTAACCTGCCCGGCTGGAACCTGTGACCCTCCAGCACCTGCCATTGGGGGCTCCAATGCTGTCCTCACTACTTGCCTATTGGAACACCTCCAAGTGGTCCCCAAACACAAATGCATCCTTAGCATCCTGGGAAAGGAAGGAAAAGAGCATTGCTACCCAGAAATGGGTTGTGTGTTCACTGCCATGGTGTTTGGAAGATTTTTTTTTTTTACCCTAGATTTTTTATCTAGCAGGGAGTAGGGAAATCAACAAGAACCAAAAAAAAATGGGCACATTCCTCAGCTGTTGCACACTCCACAGAGCCCACGTCAAAATAACCAGGGCAGGGGCATGAGCAGCATTTTGCAGCTGGATAATCTGATCCGCAGAGATCTGTCCTGAGGTCAGGAGCTTGGCAGCATCTCCTGGCCAGGCCCCAGCCCCCTCCGATGGCGCTCCCTGGCCCCCGTGCTCACCCGGCCCCCAGCCTGTGGACTTCAGCCTCTCGACAGCAGCGCCTCCCCAGCCACCTGACAAAGTGGATTTCTCCTGTTCATGCTGCAACTCTCCTTGGCCCGGAGCCAGCTGTCTTGAGCTTACAGCCGCTTCCCAAGGCAAAGTGCCCCGTCTCCATGTGGTCGAATGTGGTGACACACACAATGTAGTTTCACTCTTTGCCCAGGTGGCTTTGGCTCAAGTAGCATGGCCGGTGCTTGTCCCCCTCAGAGCCTCAAGTGCCTACAATGTGCTGTCCCCTGCCCTTGCCTGATCACCCATAATGTCCCCATGAAGCCTGTGCCACTTCTTGTTCTTGGAACATACGTCGGCTTTTTGCCCAGTAGCTGGTAAAAGTCCTGGACATCAGCCATCTCATGTCCACCCATAATTAGCAAGTCACACCCCCAGCTGTCTGTGTGTGTCTGTGCTCAAGGGAATGGCTTCTCTGTAACAGTAGCTTCTGTTCTCTCCTAAGCTTTTAGCTCATAAAAACTGCTGAACCTGACGGTACAACACACAATCCTTGTGTCTGCTCTTTTGTTCTCAAAGCTGATACTTGGCTTTCAAACTAGTGGTTCAGGGATCTGTTCGCCTCCCCTAGTGTGGGCACAGCTGTCTTGGTTTAGGTTCCCCCAAGGGCGATCAACGGTCCCAGTTTGCCTGGGCCCTCAGGATGTGGGACTTTCATTTTTAAAACTGGGACAGTCCTGGGAAACTTGAGACACTTGGTCACAGTAATTCCCCCAGGAGCAGAGCCTCAGATAAGGATTCAGTGCCAATAGAGTATTTGTGTGATCCCAGGAAACACCCTTAGGCAAGTGAGGAGGTGAAATAGCCACAGGAAGAACACCAATAAAGGGATGGTACTAAGCAGGTCACTACTATGGGCTGGACCTTCATCCCACTTCGGGGCTCTGGGAACCAGGAGAGATGCACGTCTCAAAGCTCACAGTGAAGGAATGGGGGGGAGGGTGGTGTGCACCAGCTCCGCTCAGTCACAGTTGAAGGTCACTCCCAGGGGCATTCACTCCACTTCTGGCCTGCCACAGGTGCCCCAGCCGAGCTGGCTTCTGCAGCTAGAGCAGGCTGCCAGCACAGCAGCACAGGTGCTAGCCGGTGTCCGGCCCGAGTGCACCCAACCGAAACGAGCTGAGGGGATCGGGCTAGGCACGGCCAGCACCTGCTGCAGTGCCTTGTCAGAGCAGCTTCCCACATTGCAGATTTTCCTCAGCAGCAATTAGTGATCACAAAATATATTTATTTGAAAATCGTCCCCAGCCACCATTTTGTCTTGGAATCCACACAGACTGACCCCAAAATCTAAAGGCTCATTTGGAAAACCTTTGGCAGTTTACCTTGTTCCCTCAAAATCATCCCTTTGCAGCCTTCAGGGAGGACAGCTGACTAAAATAGGAATTCCCGACAGGCCCCCAAACATCACCGCGATGGGCTAACGGCCTCCAGCAGGAAGAGGTCATGGAGCCGGCAGGCCGAGACGAGAAAGGGAAGCACCGTTCGCAGGCGTGGCCCGCATGGGTGATTTTCCCCTGGGCAGTGGGCTTTCACCAAGATAGACAAGCCCCTTCTCGGCCCCCACCACAGCTCTAGGCTGCTGGGGGGCCTGAGGTCCCCTTAGCACCTCGCTGACTTATATGACCTGGGCACTACTTCACGGAACTTTGCAAGAAATTGCGTCTTTGTTCTCTTCTCCCATTGTGCATCCTGTCAAAGCCAGTTTGTGTGTGTGTGTGTGTGTGTGTGTGTGTATGTGTATGTGTGTGTGTCCTGCTGGGGGGGGGGGCAATAAGGGTCTCCTAGCCCCTCACACTATGGAAAACATGCTCAGGAATCAGGAACTCGGGGCCCCTGCATTCTCTCCAGGAACTCTGTAGGACAGAATGAAGCGAGCCACTGATTCGAGTCTCTGGCTCTCCCGGGTCCTCTGTTCTATGTCTGCAGTCCCCGCCAAGGCACTGCTGGCCCCCTGGGAAGCCTGAGCTCCCCTGGGCTAAAGTAATCTTATCCTGGTCTATCCTGTTCTGAAATGGGGAAAAAATATGGAGTCCCAGCCTAGATCTGCAAAGCTCTCTTGTCCTGCCATCCAGCAGCAGTTGACTCATCCGCATCTGAGCATCACCTACAATGTGAGCATCCTCATCTCCCATCTGAGCATCACCTACAATCTCCCGTCAGGAATCTCTCCTGGAAGCATCCAGCCACCCCCAGATCCAGAGTCGGGGGAAGAAAGGGACTCACGTCCCCTGTGATATAATGAGACATAGGTAATCTGCTGGGAGGGGGTCCTCTCCTATGCTGGGGGGGGGGGGGGAGGAAGGGCCCCAGATACTCAGAATAGTGGCCACGCCAGCTCCTGAGCCCGTGATAAGATCTGGATGGGAAGTTGTCTGTGATGGCTCCCTCAGCCACCCGAAACAGAACTAACGACACCCTACACGACTCTCAAGCTCCAAGATCCTCTAGGTTGCAGATATGGACCCTCCCAGGCACTGACCTAGTTCCTGTCTATCCTTCATTCCTGGCTTCAGAATCTCGGGCTTCCCCAGGGCGGGAAACCAGGGGCCGTTGGCACAAACTCCCCGGCCGCAGAGCCCGCAGCGCCGCTCCGACACTGTCCAGCAGAGGGCGCTGTGGGCATGCACTGCCTTCAGGCCCAGGGCCCGCTGAGACGTTTGGGGAAAGAGGAGTGACAGGGATGAAGGGACGCTTTAGAAGCTATTCCTGTCCCCCGTCAACAGCCTTTTTTCTCTGCTAAAAATGGGTGATTCGTGATGGCTAGGAAGCCCACTGAAAGGCTGTGCTGGTCACGTGTTCGCCGTGGGTCTGGACACCGGGCTAGCTCACCTGGGACTGGAAAGGAGAAGGTGGCTACTTCGTCCTTCCCTGCTCAGCCCGCTCCTCCCGTCTCCACCACACTAGCACCCTCCTTCTCCAAACTCCGTGTAAACCCAGTTCTTTCAGGAAGCCTCCCCAGGCCCCCTCTCAGCAGCAGCTTCTCATGGGATATTTGATGACCGTATGTAGGTGCGTTCTGGCTCCCCCATCAGACTGGGAGCTCCCAATCCTATGCGGAGGTCTCCCCCAGGGCAGGGGCCGTGTACCCCACCATCAGACTGGAGGCTCTCTAAGGGCACAGACTTCAGTCTCCTCCGTCAGACCAGGGCTGTCTCCTCCATCAGACTAGGCACTCTCTGAGGCAACTCCCCCGCGCCTCCACTCCAGTAGCACCTGCTTTAGGACTCTGTCCAAGTGATCAGTTTGCGGACAGCCCCTTTCCCCACTCCCCCAAGGGGGGATCCGAGATGGTCCCAAGTCCCATGAGCTTTGCACATTGGTCAAGAGAAAGGTGGGATTTGATCATGCAAAAGATCACCGCTTTGGGAAAGAACAGAAAGGGGAGATGAAACTTGTCAGGGGTTGAAGATGCCAGACCCCCTTGTGTGCACCACCCCCTTGTTCTGCCTCGCAGGTCCTCTGCTCCCTCACCACTGTCACTCAAGATCTGGCCCTCATCACTGCATGTCACAACCAGGGTTAATTCATTTGGGAGCTGGGAATCCTGTGACCCACTACATGCCGGGCCGTGTTCTGGGCTGGGGAGCCAGCAAGGAACAGAACAGAGTCCGCCCGGATTCACGTGTCAGGGCTGCGACGACAGAGCACCACAGACCAGGAGCTCAAACAACAGAAGTGTTTTGTCACGTGGTTCTGGAGGCTGGAAGTCCAAGGTCACGGTGTCAGCAAGGTTGCTTCCTTCTGGATCTATTCCAGCCTCTGGAGCTTCCTTGGCTCGTGGCAGCATCACTCCCGCCTTCACATGGCGTCTCCCTGTGTGTGTGTGTCTCCAAATTTCCCCTTTTGATAAGGACACCAGTCATAGATCGCGGCTCACCATAATGACCTCATTTTCACTTGATTACCTCTGTAAAGATCCTGTCTCCAAATACAGTCGCATTCGGAGGTATGAGGGGTTAGGAATTCAACATACGAATTTGGAGGGAGACACAATTCAACCCTTAACACCGTGTTCATGGGGCTGATGGTCTAGTGGGGAGAGACAGACAAGAGACACAAAATCAAGCAAATATATACCAGGGCCAAAGGTGATAAGGCAGAAAAATGTAGCAGTATTAGCGGGGAGGGAGTGATAGGTTGGGGAGGATGCTATTTATCCTAGAGCACCTCCCAACAAGTGACATAGGAGCCAAGTCTGGATTCCGAGTGTTCCCCAAGCAAGCCGTTCACGTCTTTGCCATGTTTTCTCTGTCCATGATGGATGTTAGCCAAGGGCAATCTCCTTCAAAGCTCATTGTGGAGCTCACCTCCTCCAGGAAGCCTTCTCTGACCTGCACTCCAGAGCAGACTGGATCTCTCCCACAGCCCTCCATACTCCAGGTAATGGCTGTCACCAGTACTTCTCAGTAGCATTTCAAGGCTGTGTGGCCACGTGTCTCCCCCATCAGACTCTCAGCAACCTGAGAACAGAGACCGGACCTCAGTCAGCTCTACGCACCTAGAACATTCTAGATGCTCAGTAAATGTGTGCTGAAGTGAAAGGTTAGGGGGTGATCCAATCATTCTATCTTTAGTGAGAATAACCAGAAGTTATAATCTGGGGAGTCCTAAATGTCAGACGTCTCATTTGCCCCTCACAACTCTGTGAAGTATCATTTTCGTGTTACAGATGAGGAAACTGAAGTTCAGAGACATTAAGTAATCTGCTCGAGGTCACCCAGCTAGAAACTGGCAGGGGCAGGATCCAAACCCAAGTCTGCCCAACTCTAGGGCCAGGTCTCTACTTCAAGACGTTGATCCATTCGTTCACTCCACCTGCGAATTCACTCCACACCCACCGGGTGCCGGGTACCACAGGGCTAGGCCAACTGGGCCAAGTAGGGAGGGCAGCGCTTGTTGCTGAGCTCTTCGCTTCCTCCACATTAGAGGAAGAGCTGCTCTTCCAGGCTCACAGCCCCCTTCCCACAGAGCCCCCTCCTCCCCACACCGTCCCCAGAAGGCAAATGGAGTCCAACTCTTCCTGTCCCTCCCCAGGAAGGAACCGGGAACCAGGAGGCTCCAGACAAGGAGGAGAATGGGTGCCAACGCTCCTGCTTTGCCCTGCTCATCACACACTGCTCACTGCACCCAGAGGGCTTCACCTTCTCTCCAGCGTTTGTACCCCATGACCCACACCTACTCCTGCCCCAAGGAAGGGAAGCAGCAGGTGGGCCCTGGCCTGGGGGACTCGGGTGCCAGCGGCTCGCACCGTGGGCAGTCCCAAGATGTCAGAACTAGAAAGGATGCTTAGAACCCTCCAAATGTCCACACCACCCACCATTTTACAGATGGAGATGCTGAGGCCCAGAGAAGAATAGGGCCTGGACCAAGGCCACTCAGGTCCCCCAAACTTGCCCTCACTGGGTCTAAAGATGCTACGTTACAGCTACTCTAAGGTGATGTCTTCAGAAAGGCCCCAGTGGAAACACGTGTGTAGGTGAGGGCTAGGGACAGGAGATTTCAGCGGGCGACACCCAGAAGGGAGATACTTAGACTGGGGCAGTCAGGTCCTAGCACAGCAGAGCGTCAGGTGAGGGAGCAGGAGCTGGAAAGAAGGTGGGGGGCACACAGTAAACAAATCTGGCCGCCCTCCCCATTTCCAGGAAAACCCAGACCCCTTTATGCTGAAATAAGAAGATGGGGGGAGGGGCCTCCACACCTCCCAGTCCTCACTGAGTGAAGGCGCAGGTCATTTCAGGCGCACAGACTGTGTGCCCCCAGGCAAGTTCCTTCCCCTCTCTGTGTCTCAGTTCCCCCGTTTAACGAGGGAGGAGGACTGAGGACTGGATAACTCCCAAGGTTCCCTCCAATTCTGAGGCTGGTGAGTTTAACATCCTGATTCCAGACTCCAGAACATTCCAGGATGAAAGGGTGGTGGGACTGCCCCCACCGACTCAGCCCCCAGTTCTCCTGGAGGCAAGGAACTTTCCCCTGGGCCATCAGGCTCCCAGCATTCAGGTGGCAGAGCCCAGCACGGCCACATCTGGTCCAGGGATGGAGAAATGAGCTCTGGGAACCCGGGACATGCAGCGCCAATAGCAAGCCCCAGTGCTCCAGCAAACACCAACCAGGCAGATCGACCGGATTCAGTTCCAGAAAGCTCCGCGGACACCACAACAACGTCCCTCAGGGCCAGAGGCCTGATGAAATTACAACCACCATCAATCAGAGGTTTGGCCCTGGGCAGTGGAAAATGCATGGGCTTCTAGGCCGGCCTCTCCATCCAGCGTCTGCCTGTTACTAGCTGGGCGAGTCACTTCACCTTTCAGAGGCCCGATGCGCGCATCTGGAAAATCAGCACCCCCACCGCAGCGCTGTTCACAGCAAGAGAGGCGCTGGGCCCAGTGCGGCTCAGCAGACAGACCCAAGAGGCCCCTGCCCAGCCCGCTTTAACCAGTCTTTACTGAGAGCGGGGGCAGGGGCAGCGCACAGCCCCCTGGGTGTTATGAAGCCACAATTCCCAGAGGAATTTTGAGGGTGACACCACCAAGGCCTGGGGTATCACTGACACTGTACCCACAGTATCAGTAATAAAATTAAATGGATAAATGTCCCCAAGTTAGCCCCCTCTCGCAACGAAGAGGCTGTATTTTCTGTCCCTCTTCTTCCGCTTCCCTCTCCCAGCCCTACGCCCATCCCTGCCTTTGTCTCCTCTTTGCAGGGGCGCCCAGCCGGGGTCTCTCTGCCTGTTTTCCGTTCCCTTCCCACTCCGACCAGCACCCTCCCCGCCCCCGCGCGCCCTGCCTCCAAACCCAGCGAAGCCACATCTGTTCTTAACCCAAAATCCTGCCAATTAAACTGCTCCCTCCGGCTCCGGCGGCTGCTGCTGACGTCGGGAGAACCAGCAGAGGCGAGGCCGCCGCCTACGCGGGTGGGGTGGGGGGAGGCGACGGCCCCCTCCCAGGGCCCCGCGGTCGTCGGTCTGTCCGCCCACAGCCAAACGCGCCGCGTGAGGCCCAAGCGCTGCCCGTCCGAACCTCACTCCAGCCCAGCCTCGCGCTCGGGGAGGGGAGGGGGGGCCCACCCGCTCCAAGACCCCCACCTGCGTCCCCCTGCCCCGCCCCGCCCCCAAGATCCCCCACCCGCTCCAAGACAACCTCCTGCGTCCCCCTGCCCCGCCCCGCCGTCCCTAGGTCCCTCCCCCACCCCGTTCTAAGACCCCCACCCGGGTTCCCTGCCCCGCCCCTCGCGCTCCAGTAAGCCCACCCCGCTGCGAGATTCCGAATTGTGCTTCAGGCACGCCTCTTTCGCCCCCGCTCTGCGACCCCTATCCTGCTCTCCCCGCGTCCCCACCTCTCCAACTGCGCGCTCCCAGCACCGTCTGCGCCTCCCTGCACAGTTTCCGCGGCCCCGCGCCCCCACCCCGCGCGGTCACCCGCACTCCCGGCACCCTCCGCGCGCTCAGTCCTCGGTTTCCCCGCTCGGAGCGGCTCTGGCTCTGCCTCTGGCTCTGCCTTCACGAAGGCGTCACCGTGGGAACCGGGAGGGGGCACATTAAGAGCAATTAGCCCGCGCACAGTTGGCAGCGATACCTTAATAAGTAGTAGTCTGAAAGGCATGTAAATAAATATTAGAGCGTATTACACGGGCAGGAGGCGCTGCACGGGGCCGCGTGCTGGTTCTGAGACGCTGGGAGATTGGCATGTGCATGTGCCGGTGGCTGTCGGGAGATTCCCGCGCCCCAGGGTCCCCGACCCGCTGCCGCTGCCGGGGAACGAGCAGGTAGGATTGGAGGGAGAGGCCCAAAGAAGGAGCCCAGGGGAGAGAGAGACGTAGAGAAAGACTCTGAAAGCGATAAGGAAAGAAAAAAGAGAGAGGGGGAATAAACCGACGGAGGGAAGTGAGGACAGAAGGAGGGGAGCCGAAGAGGCAGAATCTGGTGCCCCAAGGATGGAGAGGTGAGAGCTCCCTCCTTCCTACTTGACACTCTTTCTTCCGGTGGATTCCCCCCCCCCGTCTCTCTGACTGCTCCTTCTCAGTCTTCTGTGCTGGCTCCTTCTCACCTGCCCAGTCCCTTAACCCTGGTGGACCTCAGGGCCCCACGGACCATGGGCCTCTTCTTACCCGGCCTCACTCACTAGATGAGCACATCCAGTATGGATGCTTTAAATGTCATCCATGCATGGAGGGCTCCCACATGCCGCCCCAGCCAGGCCTGTCTCCTCTGAACCACAGGCTAACACCTCCCTTGGATGTCTAAGACCTTAACATGCCCGGAACCGAACACCTGCCTCCCCTCTGAAACCTGCTTCACCCACAGTCTTCCCGGGTTCAACAAGAGGCAGCTCCCTCCTTCCGGTGTTGAGGCAGAAACCTTGGCGTCTCATTTGATGCCTGTCTCTCTCACACACCTCTTATCTAGCTCATCAGGGAAGCCTGTCCTCTCTATCTTAAAGATGTTTCTGGAATCCTTCCATTCCTCCCCGCTCCACGGCTGCATGTTAGCCCCAGCCCCCGTCGTTTCTCACCTGGATTGTTGCAACAGCTCCTCCTCATTGGGCAACCCTCCCCCCCCCCCCGCCAGTTTCTCTGTGGACAGAGTAGAGATATAAAAATACAAGTCAGATTAAGCCACTCCTCTGCTCAAATGTTATATGGATTTTGTCCTCCCCCTGCCCCACTGCGGAATCTCTAGTGCCTAGAATAGTGCCAGGAACATAAAAGAGACTCAAAAATATTTGAAGGAAGGGAAGAAGGGAGAGCAGTTGGTTGGAGAGAAGGAAGGGGAATAAAAGAAGAGTCGCAGGAGGAGGGGCCGGCATGGGCAAAGGCAGGTGCCCTCGGCCTGCATCACAGGGTGGGGAGCGTTTGGAAGGACTGACTGGTGAGCTTGGAGTGGCCCTGGGACCAGCGTGTGTGAGCAGCTCCTTCCCCAGCCTGGTGCCCAGGCTGAAGGAGCACCCACAGCCCCATCTCTACCGAGCCCCCCTAACCCCGTGGCAGGGAGCCCCACCTCCACCTCAGGCCCCAGCTCGGTGTTGGACCCTAGGGCTGCAGGCGGGACTGCATGGGTAGGCCCCTGGTAACAGCCACAGTAATTACTGGTTGTATGCGATTAGTGGATAATTATGCTTAATAAGTCCAAAAGTAATTACCAAGAAGGCTGCTTGCTGCTTTGGAAAACAGAGGCCCCCGGTGAGCAGGAGCCAGGGAACTGAGAAGGGGGAGAGCGAGCATCATGGAACATCAGAGGCACTGGTCCGTTTCTCCAGCAGATGCCTGAATCCTCTCCTCAGCATCCGCCCCCCACCGAGGGGCTTGCTTGTCTCCGGTGATGACGAGCTCACTATCATGAAGGCAACTCCTTCTGTCACTGGAAGTCTGCATACAATTTTGCATACATTATTGGCTATTCCGGGCCACAGCGAACCCCTTCACTTTCTCATTCAACATCTTAGCACGTGCCTAGACACAGAACTAAAGTCTCATTTGTAAAAGGAGCAAAGTGTGTCATCATCTATATCACCACTGGCTGTCTTATTGACTCTCAACATCACTGACGTAGCGTTTCCCATTAGACCCACTGCACAGATGAAGAAACTGAGGCTCTGGGGGGCTACACTCATAGTGGTGGTGAATAGCAAAGTCAGAACTCATATTTCAGCCTATCTGATGCCAAAATCTATGTTCCTAATGCTTAAGTTTCACTGCTTCCGGGTGGGGCCACACAGAACCAATCCAGTCCATCTTCCCAGAAACTAATCCACACCCTCTTGACTCTTTTCTTTTTCAGTCTAGACAGAAGCAGTGACTGGACTCACTGCGCCATGCCCAGGAGTCTGTGTGGTGCAATGAAAACGACACCCGGTTCTTTCCATTGGTTCTGCTGCCAAAAAACCCTATGGCCTTGAGCAAGTCACTTGACCCTTTTGGGCTCCGTTTTCCCATCTGCACAAAGGGGTAAGGGGGTCCCCAGTTTGTAAGCATTGGTTCTGCTCCCTCACGCCAACTCCAAGACCTGAGCAGCTCCAGGTCCACACTGGCCCAAGGCTTCCACACCAGGGATTGAGATGTCCAACCCCTGGGACATTCTCCTTTCTTCCTCTGGATTGGACTGCCCTTTAGAGGCACCTCAAAAAAATACCTTAAAAGAGTCAGTGACCAACACTCTGCTCTGGACATACAACCTTGCCCTTCCATGACCCCACACATCTACCTTCAACTTCATTCTTAGAACTTGATTCCCAAGGGAGGGGGAGAGAAGTAAAAGTTTGCAGGACACCAAGAATATCAAATTAAAAGGCAAATGCCCTCCTTAGGTTTGCTGCCACCACTGGGTGGAGATTCATTTGTATGATTACAGTCACTTACGTTGGCTTACAGGATGACACTTTGATGTCCATTTTCTCACATGATCTCTACGTCAACCCTGCTGAGGCAGGCATAGTGCTGTCCATATGTTACACGTTAGGCAACTGAGGCCCAGGAAGTGGAAGCAACTTGTCCAGGGTCATACGGCCAGCAAAAGGCAGAACCAGGCTTTGAACCCAGGTCTGACTCCAAAGCCTGTGATTGTGATCACTACTCAACACCTCCTTGCAGCCTCCAAGTCAGCCGCTCTGGCACCTGGGAAATCAGATAAGGGGGTGATGCAGTCTGCAAGGGTTGAGTTCACCCTCCCCCACAGCATTAGAGCCCAAGGGGGTCGTCAGAGGCTAGTGAAGCTCTCTGGCTCCATCCTGCTGGCATCTTTCTCGGTAGAATGTTCAATGCAACTGTTTCTCCACTGAGGATTTTCCTCAGGGTCTCAGAGGGAAAGAAAAGTATCTGGAAGAGAAATTCCACAATAGAGGCATCTCATCTTTGCCTGGAACAGTGCAGCATGGGGATGGAGAGCACATGAACATTATTAAAACCACTCCAGCGCCCTAAATTGCCAGGCCTGCAGAGCACCACGAATATGGAATCAGGAGGGAATATGCACCCTCAAGCTCCCAGAGTGGAAAAAAATTGCTACTGCTATAAAAATAATAGAACTGCCAACCGCCCATAAAATCTGCTCCATTAATGTGAAACATATAAAATGATTTACTTTTTCGGTGAGAGTATCAAAATTACAATCTTTTTCAGAAAAGTCAGAAAATAATATCACTGAAAACAATGATCCGTGGGAGAGATGAACTGATGAACTAGGATTGGGACACACAAATGCTCCCCAAGGTAGTGGGGTCCCAACACCCCTCAGAAGATTTTCAAATGCACAGAAGCTGGGCACTGACCCCAGAAGATTCTGATTCAACGGGTGAGATGCAAGGCCTGGGGAATCAGTGTTGATGGGTCCTCCCTAGGAGACTCTGCAACAGCCATTGCAGATAGGCTTGGGGTTGAGAATACTGCCCAGGTGCCAGGCACGTTTCAGCACCAGGGACAGGGGCACCGCGTTGGCTCTCAAGAGCACATGGTCAAGCACATGGTCGGCCACCTGTGCTGGGAGCTTAGCTCTTTTACGTTCTTTGGTGGGGAGGGAATAGTGGAAAATCTCACCCCCTCCGTCTCCCTGGTTGGGATGAAAGCATATTTTCTTTGGGGCCACGGTGGCCCAAGATTTGCAGGGCATGAAAAGTCAATCGGCAGGGGGGATTCACATCAGTCTCGAAGATGACAGACACCTTCTCTCAAAAAAGACCTCCTGGGGCTGGCCCCATGGCCAAGTAGTTAAGTTCCTGCGCCTCCGCTGCAGGCAGCCCAGTGTTTCATTGGTTCGAATCCTGGGCACGGACACGGCACTGCTCATCAAACCATGCTGAGGCAGCGTCCCACATGCCACAACTAGAAGGACCCACAACGAAGAATATACAACTATGTACTGGGGGGGTTTGGGGAGAAAAAGGAAAAAAATAAAATCTTTAAAAAAAAAAAAAAGAAAGACCTCCTGCTTTTACTTGGCAATGAAGGGAAAGAGAAGAAGGAAGTGGAAGGGTCCTGGGCTGGGAGGCCTGTGTATTAGTCTTGGGTCTCCCCCTAACTAACTGTATGGCCTTGGGTAAGTCGCGTCCCTTCTCTGGGCCTGGCTGTGACATTTCCTGGGCCTTGTGGCTGGTAGGATAATGCTGGGGTTTCACTCCAGATCTTTTTCATGATTCAGAGAGTGCTTTCTCCCCCTATCATTCACTAGGGTCTCAAAACATTGAATAATCCCAAACCAACATTTCTCAAACTGTGACCCTCAAATCTGGGCATGTCCTAAGAGACAGGTATTTTGTGCCTATGAAGAAGGAAGCAGAGTACTCTAGTAAAAATAAGTTTGAGAATTATGACGGTAAACAAAGTAAAACAGGTCTTTTTGCTGTGGGACTTCTGGGTCCTCCAATGCTCTATTGTGTGTTGGTTATTTCCAAGATGGTGGGTGAGAAGTTCTCAGTGGTTCTCAAAC